CCCTCATCCCCGTGTCCCCATGTCCCTCATCCCCGTGTCCCCATGTCCCTCATCCCCGTGTCCCCGTGTCCCTCATCCCCGTGTCCCCATATCCCCACATCCCCATGTCCCCATGTCCCTCATCCCCGTGTCCCCATGTCCCTCATCCCCGTGTCCCCATGTCCCTGTCCCATAACCCCATATCCCCATGTCCCTAATCCCCACATCCCCGTGTCCCCGTGTCCCTCATCCCCGTGTCCCCGTGTCCCTCATCCCCGTGTCCCCGTGTCCCCACAGAAGCGTTTCCGCGCCGTCTACGATTACAACGCAGCGGACGAGGACGAGGTGTCGTTCCAGGACGGGGACACCATCATCAACGTGCAGCAGATCGATGACGGCTGGATGTACGGCACGGTGGAGCGCACGGGCGACACGGGAATGCTCCCGGCCAACTACGTGGAGGCCATCTGAGCCCGTGTCCCCTCCCGGTGTCCCCTCCCCGTGTCCCCTCCCCGCGTCCCCGCTGTGTCCGGTTTCTGTCGCCAGTTCTGCTCCCGGGTGGCCCCACGGGGGCTGAGGGGCCGTGTGGGGGTGGGGATCGATCCCCCAGGGTTTTCCTGCTCCCGTCGCTCCTGCCCGGCCTCTCCCGGGAAATCTCCGGGATCCCGGAAAAGGGAGGGAGGGAGAGGCCACGGCGGGACCAAATTGCAGCTGTGGAGTGGGAGAGGCGAGGGGAGCTCATTCCGAGGGTGCCCCTGGGCTCAGGGATGGGATGGCAGCTCCTCCTGTTCCCCACTCATCCCGTTCCCGGCTCATCCCGTTCCCGTTCCCGGCTCATCCCATTCCCGGCTCATCCCGCTCCTGTTCCCGTTCCCGGCTCATCCCCCTCCTGTTCCCGGCTCCTGTTCTCAGCTCATCCCGCTCCTGTTCCTGTTCTAGGCTCATCCCGTTCCCGTTCCCGGCTCCCGTTCCCGGCTCATCCCGCTCCCGTTCCCGGCTCATCCCGCTCCCGGCTCCCCTGCGCAGTTTCCGTTCCATCTTTGCTCCCTTTGCCCTCAGAGCAGGAAAGCGTTTGGTTCAAGTCCCCCGGGAAAGCTGTCGGCGTTCCGAGCTCTGGGCAGCCCTGGAGGAGCCTCTGGCCGCTCCCGCCTCGGGCTCCGCTCGTCCCGGTCCCTCCGGAGAAGGAGCAGCCGTGGGGCTTTTCCTGGGGGAAAAGGGGCTCATCCCTGGAGGGCTGGGATGAGCCCCTGGAGCTGGGATGAGCCCCCAGACTGGAATGAACCCCCCGGACTGGAATGAACCCCCCAGACTGGAATGAACCCCCACTGGTGCAGGGATGAGCCCCCCCAGACCGGGATGAGCCCCCTGGACTGGGATGAACCCCTCCAGATTGGGACGAGCCCCTCCGGACTGGGACGAGCCCCCCAGACTGGAATGAACCCCCTGGTGCAGGGATGAGCCCCTCTGGAGCAGCCCCCCAGACTGGGATGAGCCCCCCAGACCAGGATGAGCCCCCTGGACTTGGATCAAACCCCCTGGACCAGGATGAGCCCCCCAGGACTGGGATGAGCCCCCCCCAGATCAGGATGAGCCCCTCCAGACTGGGATCAAACCCCCCCAGACTGGGATCAAAGCCCCCCAGACTGGGATCAAACCCCCCCAGACTGGGATCAAACCCCCCCAGACTGGGATCAAACCCCTCCAGACTGGATGAGCCCCCTCCAGCTTGCTCTGGGCCGGGCTCTGGGGGTCCCCTGGGGGAGCATTTTCCTCCCCCCCAGGATTTTCCTGGTTTTCTCCCGCTGAGCGCTGATTGTCCCCTGCGGGATGTGACACCCCGAGCCATCCCCAGCCTCATTCCCAGCGCCGGCTGCGGCTTTTTGGGACCAATTTGGGATGGCCTCATGGACCAAAACACCAAAGCACGTCCCTGGCCCTTCTCCTCCGGGCTCCGGAGGGGCCGGGGCGGGTCAGGCTCGGGAAAAACTGGAATTGAGCAGGGAGGGAGGAGCGGGAATCCCTGCGGGGTCCCGGGATGCGTTCCCACTGGAAAAACGGGAATAAGGAACATTCCACGTCCTGCTGGGGACACGTCCCTTGCTCTGGGGGCTGGGATTGGGGACAGCGGGATCAGGAAAAGGGAACTGGGGACAGGGATTCAGGGATTCAGGGACGGGAGCAGCCAGGATGGGCTGGGAATCCCGGCTGGTGCTAAAACAGGGAGCACAAGGGCAGGGGGAGCCTCCCCTCCCTGCTGAATCTTCTTAATCATTCTTAATTCTTGTCTGGGAATTGGGGGTGGGGGGGAGCATCAATGTGAATAAACCCTTTTTTAATGGACCAAATAACACAGGAAATTCCCTTTTTTGGGATACCGACCTTTTTTTAATCCTCCTTCAAAACCATTCCAGTCCCTAAATTCTCCCTTCCCGTGCCCCTCTCACCCCCCTGCCGTGGGAAACAAACCTCTTAACTGCTTGATTTCTGCCTTTTCTCTCAACTTTATGCACTTTTTTGCCTTTTTTTTTTTGTTTTGGTTTTGTTTTTTTTTCATAGCTGAAAAAAAGCACCTGAAAAACCTGTATTTAAAATAAAGAAATAAATAAAAGAGTTTAAAAAAAAAAAAAAAAAAGGAAGAAGAACGATTAAAAAAACAAAAAAAAAAGAAAAAAACCGAATAGTTGCTTCTGATCACGTGTAAAATAAACCTCGTCCATCCCAGCTTCCCCCGGTTGCGTCTCAGTGCTGAGCTTAGAACGTGTTTTCCTCGGGATCCGTCGCTTGATTGGGGGGGTTTTGTCCTTGTGTCCTTCCTGGGTTGAGTACCCACCACTAAAACAAACAAACAAAAAAATAAATAGTTATTTGGCCTTTTTTTTAATTTAAAAAACCCCCAAAACCCACGGAATGGAACGACCCGAGCGATTTTCTTCCCGGTTTAACTCGGATTGAAAATAAAAGTTTAATTTTTACCTGCTGATTGTGCTAGCTTTGATTTTTCCGGCTGCTTTTTGCTGTTGGTTTTGGGGACAAGGGGAGGCTCCTGGGGGTTTTCACCTCCCCTGGGGCCGGGACACGCCGGCATCCCTGGGAATCCAGCTGGGATGCAGCTCCGCGGTTTTTTTTTTGGGAAGCGTTTTGGGTTTCTGTGGATCCCTGGGATTTCACCCGCGGCGGGGGGGGATTTTCAGGGTGTTTTTAACAACCCCCGGAGGGTGTTAAGGGAAGGATGTTGTTCATCAACAGCGAGGAAAACAAAGCAAGGGATGGGCCGGTTCCTCCGGGGGGCACAAACCCTGGGGGGAGGAAGGAGAAGGGGCAGAAAACCCCCCCGAGGGGAGAGCCCGGGAGCCGGGGCTGGGCCGAGCCGGGCTCCCGCCGCTGTTTATTCCATGATTTGCCGCTGGAAAGCGGCTCCATCAGCTCCGGCATCGGCTCTGCATCCTGAGCGGATCCGCGATCGGCCGGGGAGGGGAGGAGGCAGCGGCGGCTCTGCCCAGCAGCCCTGAGCCCTGTCCGGAGCCTGCCCGGAGCTCCTGAGCCCTGCCCGGAGCTTCTGAGCCCTTCCCGGAGCTTCTGAGCCCTTCCCGGAGCTTCTGAGCCCTTCCCGGAGCTTGCCCGG